GTGTATAAACTCCAATGGGCCTTAGGCATGAGTTAAGTGCCTACATCCTCAAAACTGTCCTAACTTAGGTGGTTCTGGGCCTCATCAAAATAAGCTGTTTAACACTATAGGGGATTTTACTGGTAGAAATTTAAGTATATAGTGGCTGGTATGTGGTGCTAAATGTGCAGTACTAAGTATGTAGTGATTGAGCAGGGGTGCTGAGGAGGATTTAAATCCTGGATTTATGGCACCCAAGTCCTTTTGTAGGTTTAGATCCAAGTCTTTCTCTGGCACAGAATAACAACACTTCCCTACTTCACGGATGGGGGAGGGTGTTGCACGGATGAAAACATTAAATCATTATAAAGTGCCCACATACTGTAATGATGGGGCCCTACAAATGCCTCACAAAATATAAATGGATGTGCTTAAGAAGTAATTTTGGAATAAATACTTATTCAATTGTTAGGGAACCTTCAGTCATAGGTAGGGGCCTTGTTGTCCCCACCTTGTTCATTTAAAAAAATGTAGCCTCAGACATTAGTACTGCAGATGACTTGATACCCAGAAATAAGGGTAGGGGAGACAGGACTATCCTTCTACTAAACAAACACACAGCTTCTGTTGTTTTTCACTTGGACTGTGCTTTGATCTGAAAACAGCCTCATGGGGTGTAAGCAGTCTGGAAGAAACTGAAAATAACTGCCATCAAGATTTATTTACATTTACAGCTTTGTAGCCGGTATTTTAATAATGCTGTTTATCAAACACATAATACACTAAATGGATTGTTGAAGACAATTAAAGCAATTTGGCTTGCTAAAATACAGGGGGATGTGAATCCTCCAGAATTGCCATTTTCATATACAGGATATCACCCATAAAAATCAATAAGACTATTTTTTTTTCAATTTCATGTTATAATGGCAATGCAACCTTAGTGAAGGCATTTCCTAAGGATTAATGAGTAGCTGTCTCAGGGGTATGCTTTCCTCATTGGATTTCCATTAAAGAACACTTCTGATGTACAGTACTGTATGGTATTCCAGTATCACTGTGTTTGGAAACTTGGATATCTAGCCAGATCCAACTTTTATTTGTGGTACATAGGTATCATAGAATTATAGAAAATTAGGATTGGACAGGACCTCAGGAGGTCATTTAGTACAACCCCCCTGCTCAAAACAGGAACATTCCCAACAGGGGCAACACATAGGGAGTGCACCGGTGCACCCCCTGTCTGGCCACACTCCCTGTTTAGCCGGTGGGCAGGGGGACAGGCAGGAGCACCAGTGCCCCCACTGTGAGTGCCAGCCAGGGAGCGGGGCCACCAGGAAAAGCTTCCGGCCACTTTTACCCGCTTCCAGCTGCTTTTACGGCCGTGGGGGGACCCCCCCCCCCCCGTCACTGACTGGTGTCAGGATGGGCACCTGCCCCCCCACAACTCAGGAGGCACCAGACACCCATGATTCCTAATTAAATCATCCCAGCCAAAGCTTTGTCTAGCTGGGCCTTAAAAACATCCAAGGATGGCGTTTCCAAAACCTCTCTGGGTAACCTGTTCCAGTGCTTTACTACCCTCCTAGTGAGAGAGGTTTTCCTAATATCTAACCTAAACTTCCCTTGTTGCAAATTGAAATCATTGCTCCTTGTTGTCATCTGCCACCACTAAGAACAGTCTAGCTCCATCCTCTTTCGAACCACTCTTCAGATAGTTGAAGACTGCTATTAAATCCCCTCTTAGTCTTCTCTTTTCCAAACTAAATAAGCCCAGTTCCCTCAGCCTCTCCACAGAAGTCATGTGCCCCAGCCCTCTAACCATTTTGTCACCCTTCACTGGACTTCCTCCTATTTGTCCACATCCTTTCTGTAGCGGGAGGCCCAAAACTGGACACAATGCTCCACATATAGCCTCACCAGTGCAAATAGAAGGGAAGAATCACTTCTCTTGATCTGCTGGCAGTGCTCCTACTAATGCAGTCCTGTATGCCATTATCTTTCTTCACAACACAGGCACACTGTTGGCTCATATTCAGCTTATTGTCTACTATAACCCATAGGTCCTTTTCTGCAGAGCTGCTGCTTAGCCAGTCAGTCCTCAGCCTGTACTGATTCATGGGATTGTTCCATCCTAAGTAAAGGACTTCACATTTGTCCTTATTGAACCTCGTGGCCAGATCCAGACATGCAGACATGTGCAGTTTGTGGTGCCACAAACCACACATGTCGCATGCTAAACTGTGCCCTGCACTGATAATTTGCAACACTGGGGCAAAAAAAACCTTTAAAAAAGTGGTGCAAAGCATGTTAAAATGCAGTGCGCCAGGATAATGCAGTGCACAGAGATGGGGGAACAGGAAACCCAGGGCTGCCTGTTGCCTTGGCTCTGCATGCTGTGGACCCCCCACACTGACCACCCTGCGCCCTAGCCAGCCAGGGAGTGGAATGTGCTCCACGGGTCTGTGGCTGGCTGGGGTGCAGTGTGCCTCAAGACAAGGAGTCGACATGCCTCCATGTTGAGGCATTTGGAGCCAAGGGAGCAGCCAGTCCAGAGCTGCATGTTCCCCCATCTCAAGGCACACTGCGCCCCAGTCAGCCAGGGAGTTCAGAATCTTACACCAAGTTCAAAATCTGACAAAAATATTCTTATGTATCATTGGTATTAGATTTAAGTAAAGATATTCTGTGGTCAAATTTGCTTAACAGAGATGAGAGTCTAGTTTATTGTGTAGTAGAGCAGTACAATAAAAAGAAGCTAAGCACACATTTTTATTTTTATTTTTTCTCTGTTGTCCTGAAATTGCATGAATTATTTTCCTGGAGGCAGATTTTTCAGCTACTGTAAACTGCCATAACCCTTTCTGATTTCAGTTGAAATCTATCAAAAGTCCAGGGCCATGACGATTTATACCAGCTGAGAACAGTGCTCTCGATTTTTATTTATCTTGTTAACATTTTATAAGGTGAAGCAGATGACAAGAAAGCTGAATGCTGAGGTAGCTAAAAAACAATAATTGAAATTAGAATGAAACTGGTTTTATTTAAATGTTCTTTAAAATGCCTTTACCCAACAATTATATTATCTTACACTTTTATGGTTAAACGTATTAAGAACTAACCTTCATTAATATATGACCTTCATTAAAAATATACTGCTTATAACTGAGCACTATTATTAGTTTGGACTTGATCCTCTTCACACTATAGTGTCTCACAAAGCTCTAATGGACTTTAAAAAGAGCAGAATCAAGCCTTTTACCAATATCACAACAGACGCTTTTAAACCATAAGCAGGGATACAGTCCCCTAAAACACACATAACATCAGAAAATTACATGATGTGATTAATGATCACAAATATACATCATGAAGTCAAAAGAGAAAATAAATTAAAGATGAAATGATCACTGTTTCCTATTTTTCTTTTAATAAAAAGTTAGATACTAAGCTGTATTTATTGTACCTCCATACATGTCATTAAAACTCCACCAGAGGAAGGTTTTAACGTGCACGCAGATGAATAGTTCAATAACTTAATGTAATGAAGGCTAGTTTGAACTGACGTCCTCAATGTCATTCATACTTTTTATAAAATATATCCCTCACAGTACTGATTTGCTTGTACTTAATATCTAAAGGTATCAGCACAGCACAATTAAGGATTTTAAAGAAATAAGTGTAAATTATTTGCAAACTCTTTAGCTAAATTTAGTATTATCAGTATTGTTTAAATACTGCCTTTCTGGCCTTTGCTATCTCCTCTCATGCAATCCAAACATTATAAATCCTTGCTGGTTCAATGTTTTCCAGGCTGACTGGATAGAGCTAGATACCAAAGTCTTTATAAGGGCCCAAGGTTGCTATGAGGATCCACCAATGTTCCTCCGTCTTGTCCATCTCAAGTGGTAAGATGGTACTTCAGCCCTCAATTTTCAGAGCTACCAAAAAAAGGAGAAAATCCACTTTCAGTTGGAATTTAATGAAAATTTGGTACTTAACTCAGTTAAGTGCCTTAACTAATGTTGGAATTTGTAGTCTTGCCCATTTTGTTCTTGGTCCCCTGCTGAGCTTCAAAAAATATAGCTGTTAGCCACATGCTGTTCATAGTGGACACAATGACTGAAACTAACCAAAATTGATTATTCTTTGACATCTTTTCTCCTTTAAGAGGAGAATATTAACACTTCTACCTGGATACAGTACAGCTGTCATAGACCTCCCTGTGTATCATCTATATGTCTGAAGGCAGTATAAAAAACTCAGTATTTGTAATAGATCTTTTTAAGTGCATAGAAAAATAAGGTTATTAACTACAGTACCTATCATTAAGTGAGCTTCATTAAGAATTAGTTCAAACACAGCTAAATTATATATTTCATTATTTGTCTTGCAAAATGCTTTGTACGAAACTGGCAAGGATATAGCACACGATTTTAAAACATAACTTGGCTGACTGTACTTGGGGCACTAAGTGTCTGTCCATTTGTTGGGCTTTTAACAAACTGCTGGTGTTTGCTGGAGTTTTAACCCAGCCAGTATTTGCAGGATCATATATAAGAGGGGAAAACCCTCACTGAAAATTGAGAAAAAACAATCCGTTTTGGAATGTAAGAACAAGTCAACACAGCCACTCTTGTCACCTGTGCTTGTGTGATGACTCTACAGCTTTTGACAGATTAGTCTTGATAATCTCTTCTTTCACTAACTTTATCTTATTTTTGTAAAATAAATGGCTAAATGTATTGTCATCTGTTACCAGGTGAATAAATTGCTAATATTCAGTAAAAGTGTTCGCTCTTCAAACGTCAAGAATATTTCGATACAATATTTAAACAGCTGGAACAGAAGTAGATTTACATGACAGTGGCAATTTGTGTTCAGTACTTGTACAATATGTGCATTTAAAAGAAGTTGGAGACAACCTAGTAGTTCAAATGAGAAACCACTGAATGTTGTGAAATGAAGAAAGTAGGAGTGATATACTCTGTTTAAATATCTGTCTGTCTTTTCTCTGACAGGTTGATAATGTATGGCTTTGTGAAGGCCATGATACACATTGGCCAGTTAAAAGGAGGAGACTTTCACTTCACAGATTGTTTGTTTTTTGGCTCACTGATGTCTGCTACAGATCCAGGTAATTGTTTAAAACAGATGATATTTTTTGTTTTCATCTTTTGACCACAAGACTGTCAGGTGAAGACAAGAATGTAATGTTTGCACCTGCCATAAAGATTCTCACAGCCTCTGCTCTTCCTGTTTTTACTCCGATAGCTGTTAACTATCTGATGTTTGGGTAACCATACATGTTATGTCAGAAAGATATTTTTGCTATCTGCAAAGATCCTTCTGTTATTTGTTTTAGTAACTGGTTTAACTGTGCTAATTTAGTTCACAAACTTCAGGTGCTAGAAGTGAAATGATGCTAACATTCAAAAAAATCTTAAGAATGTCTACCAGTGTCGTCCTTCCTGGTTTAAGTTAAACCAGAGTCCATCAGCATCCTGGCATGCTCTCTGGGGTAGGCTGGGATGGGCTCTCTGCTCCAGTGGAGGAGGGCTGATCCACCCCTGTGCTCCCCAGCCAGAGGAGGGACAGGCAGGGGCAGGGGCCTGGCCAGACACTGGCCCTGGAAGAGAGCAGGGAAGAGGTTTATTCCCCTCCTCCCTCCCCTGTCCCACCAACACAGACCTGCATTTCTCCGCTAGCTGCTTCAGTGGTGGGGGTGTGGCCAGGCCCCAACAGTATTGTGGAATCAGCTGGCTAGGGAGGGGGCTTAATTCCCTGCTCCCTGTACCACTGGCACAAATCCAAGCCAGGGTCCGCCAGGTGCTCCCTCCTTGATGCTGCAGCAGTAAGGGTGGAGGCATGGCCAGACACTGGCCAACATGGCCCCCTGAGGCAGAGGGGGCAGGGAGGGGGTTATTCCCCCCTCTGCCCCCTTGGAACCACAGTGGAATCTGCCCGCCCCAACTGCTGCTGCCAATCGCTCCCTGCATGGGGTGAGAAGTGGGATAAGCCCCCTCCTTCCCCCTCCACCAGACGCCGGAAGGATGGGAGAATAACCCACTTGCCTGCCCGCTCACCTAAGGGGCTCTGCCAGCCAGCCCCTAGCTGCGCTCCCACCCTGCTGCTGGTGCGGTGAGGGGGCGGCAACTGTGATGGGGGCAGCAACCCCTGTAATGGTGTCTGGGGAGTGGAGTCTCTTCCTGGCAGGGGGCCATGAGAGGGGGTTCAAAGCTGCTGTGGACTGTGTGGGGAAAGAGGCAGCACTGGGGCTCGGAGGGCACCATAGCCCCCCCAAAAGCCCCAGTGCTGCCACTACTCACCCTGTGCAGTCTGTGGCAGATCTGACCACCCCACAGTGCAGCCCTGTGCTGGGAAGCAGCTTGTGCTATGGGACACCATGAGAAGGGCTGCAGCCGCCATCATGATTGCTCCCCTATTGCTGCTCCAGTGGCAGGGCAGGGGCATGGCCAAGAGCCACTCGCCCCACACAGGAAGTGATTGGCAGCTGTGGTGGGGGTCGGGGTGGGCAGACCCCACTGCAGTCCCCTGGGGGCAGATCGGGGGAAAAACCACCTTCCCTGCAGACTGTACAGGGCAAGCGGTGGCACTGGGGGTGGGCTTGGGGGGCTATGACGTCCTCAGAGCCCCGGTGTCGGGGCTTGCCCCATGCAGTTTGCAGCAGCTCTGAATCCCTGCTCACAGTTCCCCTGCTGGGAAGAGGCTCCGCTCCCTGGGCACCATGACAGGGGGTGCTGCCCCTGTCATAGTCGCTGCCCCCTCACTGCTCCAGCAGCAGGGCGAAGGCACAGCTAGGGGCTGGCCAGCAGGTCCCCTTAGGCCAGGGAGCAGGGAGAGGGGTTATTCCCCCTCCCTACAGTGTCTGGTGGAGGGGACAGGAAGGGGCTGCTCCCGCCACTCCCCCCATGCAGGGAGCAATTTGTGGTGACAGCAGTTGAGGTGGGCAGACCCTACTGCAGACTCCCAGGGGCAGAGTAGAAATAAGCTCCCTCCCTATCCCATCTGCCTCAGAAGGCCAAGCCAGTCAGCATCTGGCCATGCCCCCACCATAGCAGCAGTGAGGGGGGAGCGCCAGGCAGACTCCAGCTCAGGTCTGTGCTGGTGGGACAGGTAGGGGGGAATTAAATCTACTCCTTGGCCAGTTCACTCCAGGCTACTGCCAGGCCTGGCCATGCCCGCCTCTCCCTCCCTCCCTCCCTCCCTCCCTCCCCGCCATGCCTGCACAGCTTCCCTGCAGCCACAGGCACACTCTAGTGCCCCCTGGCTCCTGGCCTGAGTGGCTGCAGACACGTGCCTGCTTTTCCTCAGTCCAGAGGGAATGTCCATTTTCTTGCAAATCGGTTCAATCTAGGAAAGTTAGACTAACCTGTAAAGATTGAATCAATTCAGACTCTAGCTTTTTGAATGTCTGTCCTTAGCCACTAAGGTTTAAGGAAGAAAATGGAAAACTAAGTACTTCTGCTCCAGGGAAGCATGGCCAAATTTTGCCAAAGTGTAAGTAGACACAAATACAGATGAATTTGGCCTGTGGTATTTGATGTAAGACATTTGTTATTGTTCTGGTAAATAATGATGACAACACTGATTTAGTGCAATCCAATTTAACCAGAGTTTAGACCACATTCTGCCCTTCATTTGTATTATAATAAGGAGCAGGTTCTACTTAGGATATATGTGCAGAAGCCTAAGTTTATGCACCCAGGGATCTGCCTATGTGTTGACTTGATGGCCTTGGGCATCACCCCCACCTCCTACACACAACTGTATCCTCCTCCCACACCCTGCCCCCACACATACCCACACCCTCCAACAAATCCCACACCCTCCCCCACACGGCCCCGCACTCACCCACACACACCCACTTACACCCTCCCCCAAAAATCCCCAAACACATACCCCATACATACACCCACACCCCCCACACAGCCCCCATACACACCCACACCCTCCCCCACACACAACCCCCCACATCCCACACATATCCTTCATACACACAGCCACAGCCCCCACCAATCCCCCACACACCCACATCCACCCAGACACACACCCGACACATACACCCACACCCTCTACAAACCCCACACACACAGCCACACATACACACACATACAACCACCACCCCCGCACCCCCACACACAATATACAAGAGTAGACTTTATTTTGAGCTGTTATGCAGTTACCTTGATATACTAAACAAATGCACATAAATCAGGACGAAAATATATTTTGAAATAAAATTAAAATAGGTTATAGTAGATGTTTGATTTTTAGCACATGGTTTGGCTTTTTTCCAGTTCCAAGATGGCAAACTCTCCTCCCACCCCTATCCCAAAAGGAGTTCTTCCAGGGGCAAGGTGAGGGACTTTCAGTGGCAAAGGTCAGAGGTTAGGGGTGGGATTTCCAGTCCTAAGATGGCAACCAGGGGTGTGACTCCTGTCAGAGGGTGGGGCTACCGTTGTGGCCCTCAACAGCTCACCAAAAATCTCATTAAGAGGTCCTCCAGCCAAAATAATTGCCCACCGCTGTTGTATGGTCTCACTCTTCCACTAACTAAATTGCCTATTCTGATGAACTTCTTTAGCCTTATAATGGGTCCTGTTAACATCTTTTCACTCCTACCTCACAGCCTGCTTTGAATTTCGAGTCTTTTCTCTGATATTTAGTTCAGTCTGTGCCTGCTTCTTTTCAAACTTGAAGAAAGGTACTTGATACCCAAAAGCTGATGTCCAACAGCACTCCCAACTATTTAGTTCATCTAATGAAAGATGTCACAAAACATCATCACCTCTCATTGACAGTTTTGACATGAGTGCAGAAAAAAGACATACATGATTCAGAGGCTGAAGATGATTTACAATGAGACACTTTAAGAAGCTCAATCTGTTTTACTGTAAGAACTTGAATCTAAGATGAATCTGAATTTAACATGCCCCCCCCCCCCCAGTAATTAGATTCTATACATGGAAAATTACAACAAATTTATACATTTTCTAACTATTGTGTGGGGTGTCTTTAATTCATCTTTCCCAACACTGCACAGGGGGGCGGGGGGGGCAAGTGGTATGGAGAGGTCAAGCAGCTTGCCCCATGCTTGTGCCATCGCTGATCCCTGACTGTCCACCCAAACCGTCTGCTCTTCCGCTTTTCCCCCAGGATTTGCTCCACACCAGCAGGCTCCATCCCCATTCTAGCTTAAGCTCAATCCTTATAGCAGCTATGTGAGCTGCGTGCCACTACTGTGGGACCAGGCTGGGACTGTGCTCAGTGCCCCAAGCTGCACCATGCAAAGTGCCTGCTATTATATTGTATAAGCATTGTATTGATTATGGTGTATACGCATCATCATAGGGAGGAGAGATATGGCAGCAGAATGATCTTAGGCATCTCTCTACAGTTCTAGACATAAGTTGGAGTCTTGCTGTAGACCAGTGGCCATTCCCAGTCAACTTAGTTGTAAATGGAACTTGACCATTCAGGCTGAGGAGTAAAAGTTGGGCAGGCATAAAACTACCTTCCTTATGTACTGCTGGCTACAGAAGCTAGCATGCTTTGACCACACTAGTCCAAAACCTAGTCTACCTAGGTTTGGGGAGACTTTGATCTTCATAAGAAAAATACCTGATTCTAAAGTGATCTTTAATTTAGTGGTAAAAAATGAAACAGGAAGCAACAGCTGAAAGCTAGTAGAAATGACATACAGGAAACCCTCGTTATTCACGGATTCAGCATTCACGGTTTCAAATATTCACGAATACTGAACCTGCATTTTAAATATACTTTAAACACTTATCAGAGCTCCTTGGGAGCTCTGCGCTTGCTGCTGCTAGACTCCCACCATTGCTGCTGGGCTCCCACCATTGCTGCTGCGCTCCCGCTGTCACTGCTGCGCTCCTGCCGTCACCACCGGAGCCATGTCATCCCTCCCCACCTGCCAGAATTCACAGATTTTGCCATTCACGGGGATTGCGGGAACATATCCCCCACGAATGTTGCCTGTACATTCTTAAGTAAGGATAATTAACCACTGAAAGAAACTACAGAGGGAAGTGGTAGATCAAATCATGATTTCTTGTCTTTCTAGAGGTTGTATCTCATCTGAATATAAACTAT